ATTCCCCAGCATCTCCATGCAGTTCCAGTATTTTCTGGACCGGAAGAAGATTCCAGTCATGACGTTGTTGTTGTTGGTTCCGGCATTCGTGTCAGAAAGCAATAACACCAACTCTAGTCCTGATCCCCCCAGTTGAGTTCTTTGACTCAGGTGGATCCATCCCCAGTTCTCAAGGACTGGAACCCCCAGTGCTTTCCGGTGACGATTGTTGTTGTTTCCGGCATCCATGCTGGAGAGCAACAACACTAACCCCAGCCCCAGTATTCAACCACAACCTTTCCTTTGAAGAACAACGCCTGGAGTATATGCTACATCATACATCATACTCAGTTTAAAGCAGATTCCCCAGCATCTCCATGCAGTTCCAGTAATTTACAGACCAGAAGAAGATTCTGGTCACGACGTTGTTGTTTCTGGCATTCGTACCGGAATGCAATAACACCAACCCCATCCMCCAGTATTCAACCAAGACCTAGTGACGAACACAGCCTGGAGTATATGCTAAATCATACTCAGTTTTAAAGAAGATTCCCCAGCATCTCCATGCAGTTCCAGTATTTTCTGGACCGGAAGAAGATTCCAGTCACGACGCTGTTGTTGTTGGTTCCGGCATTCGTGTCGGCAAGCAATAACACCAACCCCAGGATACTCAAGCTGAGCACAGTTTGCCTCAGCTAGATCCCACCCCAGTTCTCAAGGACTGGAAGCCCCAGTGCTTTCCGGTCATGATTGCTGTTGTTTCTGACCTCTGTGCCAGAAAGCAACAGCAACACCCCCAAGTTTATTTTACCCCGTGACCAGCGGTGACAGAAGTATTGATTTATTTATTCCAGTGTCTTCTTCAAGAAGACAATACTCAAACAACTACTCCTTTGGCTGGGCTCAGCTGTAATTTGGTGAAAAAAGTACGACGGTTCCTTTTTCTTTTTGGCTTTTTATTTTTTTTTTATTTTTTCTTTTTGACTAGTACATGTGTCCTCAAACACTGGGGCGTGACTGGCCTTAATTGGCTTGCCAGTGTGCTTGGCACCCATCTCCTTGATCACTGCGTGTGATAACTTGCCTACAGGTTGGGAATTGAGAGCTCCAACCTACGGGCTTGGCAGTGCTCCTTTGAAATGGTAATGGCATGGTTCTCATCCATCCAAACTGTGAACCAACATCTCCTTGATCACTGCGTCTGGAAACTTGCCTACGGGTGGGGATTGAGGCCCCCCATCCTACAGGCTTGGCAGTGTGACCCTATTGTTCTATGTCCTCTGAGTTTAGCCCTGGGCCTTCATTGGCCTACTATCAGTGTGCATAAAACTTGGTCGCTCCTCCATAAACACTCCTCGGAGGGAGGCGCCACCCCTTGGTGCAGCTAGGAGCATTCTTTCTAACAAAAGCTATGGTTCTGGCCATCCTAGTGCCTCTTCTAGTTCACAAGGTTAAATATAAATTTTAAGATTTTTTTTTAAAGAAGTACCCCAGAGCCAACACCTGAAGGGTATGAGGCTCTTCCATTGCCTCACGCATTGCTGAGGCCGGCGGTGTCTTCATGAAGACCGTCAAAATCTGATTGTGCCCAATAGTAGTACTGCATTGGTAGTTGTACAAGTTGACCAGCAAGTGGATCATGATCTGCCTCTCTCCAAAGTCCTCCAATCTAAGCCTATCCTTCATCCTAGGGAACTGTCCTTGGATCTTCCTCATCCCCCACTCAGACTTCTGNGTCGATCCTCGATAAGAGCATCGACTCACTTTTCTACTAGCACACACTTTACATCTCTTTTAGGACAGTCACTCCCACAAGCTGTCCTCTAGTATTGCTGCTCACTATTTTGCTTTACTACATGATGTCAAAACAGTCACTATTCTTTCTCAAACTAAATAGATCTCGACCAAACTAACCAAACTACTAACCAACCCTCCTCCCACCATGGTGGATGCTAACACTGCAAGTGCATTGTTTGATGCTGTGTTGAATTGTTACTCCGTTGATGCATTGAATCATTGCTGTGTTGAATCGATGTTACATTGAATCATTGCTGCATTGAATTGATGCTGCGTTGAATAGTTGAGGACACATTGAATTGATGTTGCGTTTAGTAATCAATCTTTAATCAATCCAATGAGCTGTTGTTTTTTATTTAACTTGAACATGGGAATCATTCAAAGACAAAGAATGAATTGTTTCCAACTGGAGATACATTCCTCCCTGCATAGAAGTACCCCAGAGCCAACACCTGAAGGGTATGAGGCTCTTCCATTGCCTCACGTGTTGCTGAGGCCGGCGGCATCTTCATGAAGACAGTCAAAATCTGATTGTGCCCAATAGTAGTACTGCATTGGTAGTTGTACAAGTTGACCAGCAAGTGGATTATGATCTGCCTCTCTCCAAAGTCCTCCAATCTAAGCCTATCCTTCATCCTAGGGAACTGTCCTTGGATCTTCCTCATCCCCCACTCAGACTTCTGTCTCAGTGAGGTGGTGTCCCTATTTATTAGGAGACTATCTTCATCCTCTGGATCTGTAGTATGAGAACTTTGAATCAGATAGTCCCTGCCCAACAAGCCAAAAGCTGAATCAACAACAACCTTTGCTCCTCCAGTGCAGGTGCTGTCCACTTGGGCCATCTTGTCATAGATTCCATAGTCACTGATGGARCTGTCATGCCACRTGCCAGGGCWATTGAAGGTTCCTATGCRGAYCCTACCATTAGGTGCAAACACAAATACTACCCCATTCACACAAGTATTAGTCTTCCAACCWTTGAAGAAGATCTCTTGTTTGAGCCAGTCTTCTGAAGACTGGATCTCTACCTTGAGCCCATCTCCTGCTACCCAGAYGCRTTGCTGTYCAAGTCTTRGATATTTTGCTCCAATTGCTCTAACATACTCATTGATTTCTTGCTCACTTGGCAGACTGACCATGGCAAGTGGATGGTTATGAAGCATGGATAGAAGGATCCTCATGGAGAACTTGAGTCATTTGTACATCACTGTTGACCTTAGACCAAAGGCCATAGCCATTCCCCTTGCAACAGATCCTCTAGTCCTGTACCAGAAGAGCACTAGTCCAAGACAACAAGTAGCTTCTACCTCCCTTGGCTTTCCCTTTTTTTCCCCACTCCTAGTGGGGGGAGGAAGAAAAACAATCTCATTGTTCTTGTTGACTGAGTATCTGTTGAAAGCTGGAGCAAGTAGCTCAAGGAGATCCCTGAAGACCTTTCTTTGGTCTACTCCACGGCAGTTAAGAAGCGCTTGGTCATCCCCTGACTGGAAGAGGAAGATGAAGGGGGAGTCAGCATACCTACAAAATTGCTATACAGGGTGTTCTTCTGTCCCTTCTGTGTCTCTCCTCTGGCGTCTTTTGTTGTTGTTCCCATTCATCCTTCAAGTAATCTCTATGCTGGGTTGCCCAGTATATGCAAAGGGTCTTAATGGAACCCATTGTGTCTCTTTTGTTTGCTGGAAGGGAAGTATGGTCCAATATTTAGGATAATGCAAGGAACATGCATATTTTTGATCGAAGAAATTTATGAGTATCAATTATTTTTGATGTTAATAATTTCACGTTTAAATTAGTACCCATGGGCRCTTTTCCAGTCTCAGTCATTTCTGTTGAGATTCCGGATTCCTTAAAAGTAGAAAACTGTGTTTAGACTTTTACAGTAGACCATCTACTGGTAGATTAACGGGAGTGACCCATTGTTGAACAAAATGTCTCTGGTGTCAATTTAGGCCTTGTTTTTTTACTGTAACCCCTCCCTATCATGCACTAGAGAGCCACTGTATTAACATTTCGCTGGGCCCTCCAGAACCAACGCGCGCGTGTTCCCCCTTTGAAATCTAATATCGGGGGTATGATTTCATGTTTTTTTTCCAAATAAAATAACCCACATTTCTAAAACGTGGGTTATTTTTCACAAAAAATGACCCATTTTTTGAAACGTGGTTTCCTGGGTTCCTGGGTCAACCCATGAATAACCCACGAAAAACCCACAAACCTGCTGGGCCTTTTTCCAAAAATTAAAAACAGTGATTAAATAACGTTAATGATTAAAATACTTAACATCCTTGGTTCTCTATCAACCCAGATGAGTGCAAATTTGTGGGTTATTTGTGAGTTCTTTCATGGGTTATTTGTGGGTTCCAGGGTTCTTTCGTGGGTTATTTTTTTTTGTTTTAGAAACGTGGGTTATTTTTGGAACCAAAAATAACCCATGTTTTTCTAAGGGAGGAATTCGAAAAGGGGGATGTGCGCGTGGGTACCGGAGGGCCCTGGTTCCATCGCACAATGCTAGCTATCAGAGCAGTGCAGGAAGAAGGAAGTTCAAAGTACGGGACGGAGGGTTCAAGGATCAAACAACTCAAGCGAAGAGCTTCTCGGAAGAAGTGCATTCGCCTTTCGAAATCTATCTGGAAACACTTGAAGACAGGACTAGCGAGGAAGGACGGTTTCACGCGCCTAGGAACTACCCAGCATCCATATGAGATGGGTTGGCAATATGAACAGGACGAGTTCGAGTACGGATTTGGACTTGACGTGATTGATAGAATGTTGGCAGGTGACGAGTCTACTTTCAAGGACGAAAGTGCTTTTGATTACACGATTTTGAATTATGGTATTTGTAAGAAAAACTGACAGCTGGTCCTGGAGCAAAGAAAGAGGATTTCMTGCATCTGATTTTCCCTGTTTTTCTGTATTGTATCGAATATTCGTTCGGGATTTTAGGGACTCTGTACCTTGTACTTTTTGTGGAGTTTGTACGCCATAGCGTCAATCACGCAGCACAYGGTCGACCATTCTTCACAGCCGTCTTGTCAATGGCTTATAGCGAATGTAAGAAAATATTGTTCAGCGAAATATTCTTTTATCTATGACTTCTTATTTCTTGCTCACTTCGCACACTAAAAACCTTGTTTGTTTCTGGCTGATTGCTTTTGGAAAGTGGCAACRCTCGGCATAGTAGAGTTTGGTGTTTTCTTGTGGGGAAAATACGGATACATACAGAAAGACAGGAAGGCCAAGTTTGCCGATGTTCATTTCGCCCTCTTTTTCACTGCTATTTTCAACGCTTTCCAATACGGCTTGACCTCGATATTCTCAACGCGGAAGTCAAATAAAATGTGGGTAAAAACAGAGCAACTTGAATTGGATCATTACGTTGAGATTCGGTTAGAATACGATCGAGTGAATAAAATCATCGAGAATCAATGCAGAGGATTTTTTGGGAAACTGGATCTTTTCGTTTGTCGTTCGGGATTGAGGCGGCAACACGAAAAGTTACGAGTGCAAGTCAAATTTCATGAACTTCGTCTTCATTTCTTAGAGTTCAATAACCTTCCGTTCAGTTTAAAAGTCAGCGACTACCTAAAAAGGTCGGAACTTTCTATTTTGATTGGTCTAGTTCATGTATCGGCGACCACTTGGGTTTTGCTCATTGCTCTGATGAATCTTGCATACTTCATTTTGGGTATGATTGAAATCAAGACGTCAAGCCCAGGACTTAGTACACCGATTATGTTTGGGATCTTGTTCGCAATTGACTTCATATTTATTGCTTTGTGTCTGGCCCTTCGATGGAAAATGCGTCGCATCTTCCAGCAAGTGTTGAAAAGAAAAGTAATCGGAACATCGGATCACGAAGAAGGAATCAAGAATCAAAAACAATTATTCTGGTTTGGATCACCCGCTCTTGTAATCTATATGATTCAATTGATGAATTTTGGATACGCACTATCATTTTCTATTGTGATCATATACTCAGAGTACTTAAATGAGACACATGAGATTTGGGTAGGAATTCCAGCTGAGATAGCATTTCCAGCCACTACCCTTTTCTGTTATTTTGTCTTCCTTTCCATTCTTTCTGCTTTGTTACCAGAATTTACTCTGTGTACATCTCTCGGCTATCTAACGAATAGAAAGGAATTAGACGAAACAKTGGCAATGCATCGATTAGAAGAGGCAGAACGACAGCATCGGCGAAAATTGATCGAAAAGGCTACTGTGAATGATACATCAATTTTTCAATCACACCCAGTAGATACCTCTATAAACGTTACAGCAATTTCTGGCGTTGGTGTTGAACAAAAGCGACTACCGTCTGACCTTAGAGACTCGGTCGGTGGAATTTTGTCTACTGCAGAGGAGAAGGAAGCTCCGCTACTTCTATCTGATCTCGTTAAAATTGATACCGAAAAATTACAAAGCAGACTACCCGAAGAATCTCGAGAAAAACTAATCAGCCGCCAAGAACGTCGTCACAATCGCCAAAAATCTCTATCCGATGGTGTCTCGGCAATGCGAGCCTGGAATCAAGGACAAAGCCCAAACTCACAAGAGAAAMAAGAGATTACAACACAAAATCGCCGGTCTCGTAGGAAGGCAATATCGCAGCCTGGTGTTATTCAAGGTTGGCAAAAATTAACTGTATCTGAACAACGAAAGAATATGAAGCATTCTGTGAACGCTTCAGATGCCGCTAAAGTTGTCAAAGAAAGCAAGAGAGAAAAATCTAACTCGGACCCTCGTACGATCAAAGATTGGAAAGAAAAAGTTGAAAGTGACGAACTCCTTCGTTCGAAAGACGATGGTCCCATTTTCCTCAGGAAAGGTGGTACAATCATAAATGGAGGAAGCGGGGAGTCGATACCAGCTTGGAAAAAGGAACGTCTTGAAAGGCTTGCTGCGAGAAAGAGAGCACGGAAAAAGACACAATCCGCCTCTGCTATTATCCAATCCTGGCAGGATTATTCTATTCGTGAGCCACCAAGAGAACACTCCGAGACTATATTGAACGAAAACTGCAAGYCAGGCGACCGCGRAGGCTCGTCTTTCGACGATGGATCACGTGGTACTSYCCTTTATTCGACTTTGAAAGCGACAATTGATAGCGAAGGTAAAGTTAACGATCAAACGCCTTATTTCGAAAAGAGGCTTTCCCTTCATACGCTGATAGAAGATGAAGCTCACAACGAAGTATYCTTACGAGACGGGGACATTTGTGGATCAAAAAGTGATAGAAATACAGTAATAGATCTTTCAGACGCTGTTATAATTGATGATGGCGAAAGGGATTTTAACAAGAGGGATGATGGAACAGTTGACACCGGAAAATCAATCGGCAACTTAAGTGATGTCGATGTGGTTGACATTGATACAACAGGGATAAGTTCCTTCACAGAGAGGGGTCTTCAAGCTGAAAGAGATGATGCTTCATCTTATCAAGGAGTACTGATTCGAAAGGCAAGGCTTTATTTCATAGGGCCGATGTATCCATATGTAAGCCATGTGCTTGGCACTTCGATTGTTTTCTATCTTGTCGGGCACCGTGTTGAAAGTTTTCGTCAAAATCAAGGCGGAGAAAGTCCATTTAGTGATAAAGCATGGTTTTGGTTAGAGGCGACGATGTTCCTATGTTTTMTTGTGGCAGATTTCATCATCATTGCTCTGTTTCCTTTTTGGAAAGAAWACACTAAAACCGAGAGGAGATTGGTATTTGCAACAATTGCAGATCTCCTTATTGTCACTGCCGTGACGACACTTTTCTTTGTTGCTGAAGCAAAGAGGTGTTGCATGGATGAAATTGCTGTCGCTCAGATAGCRACTGTGAGAGAAAGGAATCTCGTCATTGGTAAAGATGATTTGGTTGGATTTGGTTGCACTTGTCCAGAATGGGGTGTAAGGACTTATGGTGGCATAGGTATGATAGAACCATTTACCTGCCTTATTGTTTTGAGACTTTTTCGATTTTATTTTGCTGAGGTCTTGATTAGGAGTGAGGAAATCTATTTGAGAAGAAGACCAAGCAACGAGGTMAAAAACATGCACGAAACACAACAAAACCACGATAATGCCCGCGTAAACCAGCACAGTCATTGCCGCGGTAATGTRCATCAATCGGGAACAGCTTTGGAGCTATGGGAGCGTGCWATGGCTGAATTCCCTGACATTGTAGAGAAGTATGGCCAATTCAGCGGCGAATTGTTGCAAGCAATGCTCGGGCTACAATTTGCTGTAGTAGCTCAAGGTACTTCCGCTTCTACACCACCTAACGCTTCAACGATCGAACAYGAACAAAAAAGATCAATCGACTCTCGACAACTGGAATCTCACATTATGTTGGCTGGATCTAGACATACACAACTTCCTCCTAGAGTACAGGCTCTGATTATAGCAGGACAACTAGGAAAACCAGTAAAGCCTATGAATCCAGGACTTCATCAAAACCCAGCAACTTTGGTAGTTGCTGCCGAAAGCACATCAGCGAAAGCCATGCGTCCGGTAGAATTTGAAGTGGACTTTGAGCAAATGAAATGCCAGAACAATGTAAAATACGAATTCATTGCGCCCTTTGCTCGTTTGGTGCGAAGTATGCGTCGCTGTGACCGAAGACATCTACCATTATTGAAGGGATGGACAAGCGTTGACGTCGTAATGACTCAATTTGAAATTGTGGTAAGTATCCACAATTTTTGCTGAAAACCTTCAACTCCTTTCCTTTTTGAAAACCTTTTGAGGAGCTATACAATCTGATCTTACGGTATMCGTTGCTTTCTGGTCGGCCATATTTAATCGTTCTGTTGTAGTATTTTGAAGCAATCGATAGTTTGAATTCTATCGCAGACGAGGAAACAAAAATCCACAGTGATGCTTGCCGATTGGCACTTGAAGCAACTAAAGGCGGCAAAAACTTRAGATTATGTGATGTTGCTCAAGGACGAACAGTWGTAGGTCATCTTGATCTTGCTGATGTTACTGAAGTGCACGTTGAAAGAGATGATACTCCTGTATCTGATGTCTCACTCGTCGAAAATGACGGTGGTTTGCTCGATAAGGATCAAGATTTAGCAGTCGAACATTGGTCAAACCCTTGTTCCGAAWCTGAAGCAAACAAAAAATATTCTAGAATCATTCGATGGTCGTTATGCCAGGAAAGCCGTCTGAGGATATCGACAAAAGCTGGCAAACTTTTCTTACGCTTTTACTCTGATCTCGCACTTTTCGAAGCCAACAACTCAGGAGAAGCCAAAACTATTTCAAACTGTTTAACGCGGGAAATTTCTTTTCAGTGGGCTCAAACTGTTTGTCGTATTTGTGGAAGGAGCCAGCTCGAACAAAATCTCCCAMATTTTGGTGAGAATAACGAAGAAGAGCTTCAAGATTATCTCGAGGTAGTCCATTTCCATGAGAAAGAGGCCGAAGAACAAAGTAGGAATATTGCCCGCACTGCAAATAGAATGGCAAAYACAGACCTGTTATTTCTCGGTGCTAAGGGTTCCAATGCAGCCAGAAAAAAGGTCAAGCATAAACGAACAAAATCGATGGTGGACTTGCGCGGTGCAATTACGGCTGATAAATCGRATRTTGCATTTGGCAACACCGCGATGAATGTTATTTCAGATGACGAATCAACGATGCAAGCACGCCACCGTGATTCAAAGCGTGTACATCGAGTGTCAAGATCAATGGTTGATTTCATTAGTGTGACAGGGACTGAACAAGTTAACGAACCCGACATATCATYCCCGTTTGCTATGGAATTGAACGAGGCTGAGAAGCATGTTTAATTCACTAGTTGGAAGCTACGATTAAGTAATTACTACTATCCTCACATTGCAGCTCAGCAATTTATGGCTGATTAGAATATTATWGATCCATGAAAGTACTCACGRRAGACATAATTTTGTTCGCTTTCAAACTGGAAGGCCATACAGTTTCAATRCGTAGTTTCCATACTAAAGCTTTCGTACCACTACATGTGACAGCGCTTGGCTTTCCTCTTGTTCGAAAAAGACTCTTGTCATCGGARAAAGCTCAGAAAGAAAACACAGTGCTTTCTTGTTGACCATTGATTGTTCTCAGCATCTGTCCTCMCGCATCTTTTTTCAGCCTTCGTTTGTAGAGTTTCTCCGTACAAATTGAGCTTCAACTTCTCAAGAGTGCAGATAAGGGGAAGARTCTAGAGATTATTATTGCTCCACCTCACCCTGAMAATGTGGAAAATTGAAAAGTAGGGGCCAAGGTTCCAAGAACGGCTGAAAKAGATTGGCGTTGAACTGCAGATCCCATAGGGGTGTAAATAATGATAATTCTATTATTGCGACGACATGAGAATTGAGCCAGGGATCATCCATTTTGTGAATAATTTAGGTGAGAAGACAAAAAGTCTTCGCTTTAAATAATGTTGTTTCCAGTCTCATTGTTCGCTGTCGGTGGAGCTGATGCCATTGGGATATTACCGGCGTAAGCAGATGCCTGAATTTCGGCGGCTGCCTCTTCTAGCAGTTTTCTCTTTTCCTGATAAAATCGTTCCTCGTTCGACTCTCTCGCCTTGAATTCTTCCTTTAACCTTAAATCCGCAGCCAATTTTTCTTCCTCCAGTACGGCCAAAAGATTCATGACCTCTCCCAACGGTTCGAGTTTGTCGTTGTTTGCGAGGATTTGACCGTTCCAATCTCCGCTCAGTTGTTGTTGAAATCGGGATTGTTCGATCGAAGAAGCAGAATTATCGTTTTGCGACTGAGCAGCACCACGCTGCAAACGTTCCATGCGTTCCTCTCTGAGTTCGGCGGCYAACGTCGATGTATCTTTCTCTTCTAACTTCATTCCCTCGTTGCTACCGTTAAAAACAGCATCCATTGCCTTTTCCTCGGCCATTCGTAGCTCCTCATCCATATCCAATTCGGCAGGAATGTCGTTTGCAAGCTGCTGATTTATGTTTGCTGYATCCAACGATGGGACCTTCGGCATCTCGTCCTCGACCGGTGAGTCGACGACGGGCGTTTTCTTCCTCTTAATTCTTCGCATTTTCTTCTTTTTTGGAGCCACAGCTGCCCCACTAGTGGCTGTAGTCGAAAGATCATACTGGGCATCGGATTCTGCTGTTGACATGGCACTGTTGCCCTCTCCTCGTGGCGATTGTACATTGACAGCGAAAGGATCGGAGTCCTCTTCRACATTGATGGACCGACGGAAAGAAAATGCATCGTTGAGTTCTTGCTGGGTTTTCCGAATTTCTTCAAGCTGCAGTTGCGATTCCATATTTGTTTCAAGCGTCGATGTAGCCTCGGCAGCAAAACTTTGGAAGTTCTGGATGAATTTTCCGATCTCTTTCACAAGCTTGTACAAATCCGATGGTCCCAATACGAAATAGCCGATCAAAATGATGGTAAACTAGAGTAACAAACCACCGCCARCAACAACAACACAATTTGATTAGCAAGGGAAAGACAAAGGACGAAAACAGAACAGGAGATTTCAGCATGCAAACCAAGCTTTATGCATACATATCTTCAAAACGCTGTAACATCTAGAAATGGTGCCATATTTAACGAAAAAATGATCTTACCAGCTCAGGTGTCCCGATGCCTAAAAGCCCACCATCCGATCCCATGAACGAATAGAGCTCTGTGGATCGTCGTTGGGATCGTCTGTTTTTGTTTGCTTCGTTGCTGTTGTAGAACTGACCAYAAGGCAAACAACCTCGAGATTCAATCAAGCCCGATGCAACACTAATAGTTTTTACTGTGCCAGCGGAGTTGAAATCAGTTTGTCTTGGAGTAGCTGGTCCCGTTGAAGTTGGAACAAATGCAGCAACAGCTTTGGAACGTCCCACCCATAGGACAGTAGAGACGAKGAAGAGAATTTGGAATTTCAATGATGGCGTCCGCATTACATTCTGCGATTTGTTGGATTTTTTGTCGGGAGACATAGCAATATAGATCTTCATGGAAACGATGCGATCTCCTTCTGTCCTTCTTAGTATTTCTCTTACTTGTGCGTTGGATCTGATTTGTCTCACAAATTTTCTGCTTGTTTGCTTTTCAGATCAAGTRTTTACAAAATTTCACAAGTTTCGRCAGCCTTTGATATGTGCTTCCCTTTATTCTAGGTAAGTTCGATTGCCCTCACTTGCAGTTATCACAATTTCGGTCGCGAGCGACGAGTAATCGTTCGGGTGACGATTTCTGGAWAGCACAAGAGGATGAAACTGTATCGWTCGATGCGAGAGAAAACGTACGGAACTACCGTACGTTCTGCTAGTACATAAAACGGTACGTCGTACAGTATTGCAGATCATGCCAAAAATACCGTACAACATCATTAATGACGAGATTGAGTGTGTGAGGAGTCGTCGTCGTCCTCACTTCAAAAGCATCGTACGAAGGATCATTATTTGCACACACGTGGAGCGGCAGGGATCATGGGCTCCGACATACCCAAGTACAATAATAGTACTACTGTACTCGTACTGTTCGTACTCCCTCTACGGTAGGAAATACCAACTCGTCGTTCCAACTGAGGAGTTCTGGTTGTGAGGCTAACTCACGAGTAGATAGCGAATGAACTCACTTTTAACCRGGGAGCGTACATACKACGTACGTATCGTACAGGTTGTTTTGAAGCTAGCCATCGCCAAACAAAACTTGAATTTTTAATTTTCCTTCTTAAAAAAATCTGTTGTCGTGCGGTACGTATCGTACGCATGTACCAGTACCAGTTGTTGTKTTACCATGTTACCAGTATTGCAAATCGAAACGCAAACGCCTTCTTGTACGTACCTCTTATCTGGGAGGGCACTGGAACTGCAAGAAATAGACGACAGAGTATTGACCTCTAGGGCCAGTACAATTTACAATCTTAGAATACTTCTATCGAGGATAGGACTGAGCGAGGAAAACGATGATCTATAACGGGSTTGGAGTCGCAGAGGATGATAAACGTGGGAAAAGGAAATTTGAATCAGAAAATAATAACTGTGTCAACGACGACAACGACAGCGGCAGCGGCGTGAACCACGCCAACAACTCCGATGACTCCAACGATGAATTCGAATACGTCTTGATCGTCCCAAAAAAACTTACAAAGCACGCACAGAATGTAATATACGCGAGAATGGCCACACCGCTTCGCTACCACCTCGAGGGAAGGTTTGGTAGCAGGACCCACCGGATCGACGAAGCGCGCATGGGGTTGCCCCTAACCTCGCTGGCGACGCTGGCTGATTCGAAGGCGCACATAGAGAAGCTAGCGTCACAATACAAGGATCTGAGGGAGCTTATCAGTAGTGAAGGGGTGGAATTTGCCTACAACCCGTATTGCGTGCCCGCCTCCCACAGAGCTCGACCACCTCCCTATGTGGACGCACGGATTCATCCGGAACGAGAACCGGAAGATGAAAGGGGCGGAAACGCATTTTGGAAGAAATTCGTTGCTGCTTCGACTACGGTTCGGCCCGAAACTCTCGTGGTAGGAACGACAACGCCTGCGGTTCCAATCAATACCGACGGCTTCGGCACAAAAATGGCAACAACAATTCACCGGACGACAAGTCGTCATCTTTCGTTGCGAAAAAGTAGCCGCAACCTCTTCACGTACGCCGAACTCTTTGCAGGTAAGAAACCTCCCAAAATTCCAAATGTTCAATCCGATCACATCCGATCAGAGATTGCCCGAAAAACAAAGAAATAGTGAGAACGATCCTTACACATTCTATCATTTCTTGAACTGAATAATTTTATTCACAGGAATGGGTGGATTTGGCGTCGCCTTGGATGCCCTAGGTGGTAAGTGTGTTTTTGCCAGTGAACTCGAAGGTAAGTAACGTAATATTTTGTTCGTTTGTTTCTCGATACGACCATGGCCATGGTATCTGGATCTACTATTGATTCATTCTGGTTCACGAACTCAATATTTAGAACGAATCACCCATACTACGTACTGATACTCCAATAACAAAAAACTTCAGAACATTTGAGGGAACTCTATCACCACAATTTTGTTACCCTTTCGAATCAATTTGAAAAAAGGGATGGCGGAGAAGAAATGAAGTCGTCGTTATCTGATACCAGTAATGATATTCCTATTCACGGTGATATATACCAAGTGCCAGATGCTTCCTTACCTCCCAGTCCGTCCCCGGATACTGGATGTCCCTCGTTAGACCTATTGGTCGGAGGCTTCCCCTGCCAACCATTTTCSGCGCTCGGACAGCAGCCGGGGCTAGATTGTCCCAAAGGCAATCTATTTTTAGAGATTGTCCGTGTGCTTCGAGTGTCCAAACCCARGGCATTCTTACTTGAAAATGTACCCGGACTCTTAGGGATGGAGGACACCTTCAAAACCATTGTGACTGCTCTTGAAGACGAGGGCTACGACTTAACGTGGGAGGTGTGTTCGGCAAGGGGATTGACAGTCACCGGGAGGAAAAGATTGTTTTTGGTAGGTCTGCGGCGTGGGGAAGAAGAAACAAGCAATGGCGAAGATTCGTTAGGAAGCAAAAACGAAGGKGAAAAAGAGCAACGGCGACGTAGCTTTGAATTTCCCTTTGTTCCCGATCTCGATCTAACTTTTGAGGATATTTTGGACTATGACAATTTGCCACCCGAGGAACTAGAGATTTTGCGGTTGAGCGATACCACTTTTCAACAGCTCCTAAGTAACAAACGATGGAGACCAAGCCGACTCGCATGGCCAAATGTCAAAGGCGACACTCTAACAAGCCACTATGGAAATTCCGTTGGACGGGGCGAATCGCAGCTTGTTCCGTGCTGTGCCCCCTACCCACCCCGGCGTTTCTCGGTACGGGARATGGCGAGGGTGATGGGATTTCCCAACAGCTACGAGTTTTTGCCCCCAAGGAAAGAGAAGCAAAGTCCGATGGCGTATCGGAAAGAGGCAAGTACCRCATCTGCCCTATGAAAGTGCCCACCAACCCTTGATGGCTTTTATACGTTGCGTCGCGTCGCGTCGCGTTGCATTGTATTCTATTCTATTCTACTTTTCATTCTATTCGATCCTTTGTTGAACGAACTAACAGCGAATCTATTCTTTTGTTTCCCGCAGCAATATCGAGCGATTGGGAATGCTGTGTGCCCTCCATTGATAGCGGCATTAGCTGGTGCTGTTTTGGATCGATGTCCAAACCTAGCCACAGAAAGTCGCGACTGGGTCCGCGATGGTCGAGAAGTAGCTGTACGATTGGCGATGGCGGCAACTCGGCCAAGACCCGTTGATTTGCCCCGCGGTTGCTTGACACCCAAAGACATGTTGACAGAARAACGGTGAATTTCAATACGAGATGCGGATAGATTGATCTCCTCTATTGTATTCATGGTGGAAGAATTCTGACAGATCTTGTTGAAATGATGATCACGATTTTTYMRKTTTTTATTCAATATTTTGACTTTGCATAACAATGTTTCTCTTGAACTACAGCATTGCATTTCAGATATGCCTAGCTGCCAAAAACCAAGTGTGTATGAAACCTCCAAGAGAAGTTTCAACACAYCAAACAAAAGAGAGATGCAAAAATGATTTTCTGATTTGGCATTGATGTCCATCTACAGCAGAAGTAGATTGGGATAATGCAACATGGGAATTGATCACAGRTTTCTGGACCTCAGAAGATTTGAAGTCTCCACTTATTGTTTCAAGGTGACAACATGCACAGGATTGATTGGACAGGAAACAATTCYGTTCAATGTGCCCAAAAAATACAGTGAGAAATTATGTAGTCAATTTAAAKTTCAAATTTAAAGAAGAAATTCCTTCACTACCAATAGAGTTTATGGGTAATATCATTGTTGTATAATTGCATTTTGTCTTGGAGAAGTTTAAATGCATTCCTAATATTGATATTGCAGATCTTAATCAGGTCCTTACTGTTGTAATGAGAAACAAGAAAATGACAGGCTTCATTGGACAAACGGACAATGTGATAAAGCAATGTTTTCGCAATGGGTGGTAGTACTAGAACAAGAGGGATTGAAGAATCCAATGGGAATAATGAACAACTGAAGAGAGTTTTTGGAGCTTTTGGATTGATTGAATTAGGTACTAGGACTACTAGTACAATATGAAATAAGAGAAATGCTGCTAGTAGATAGCAGGCAAATTACTATCGAAGTATTTTGGTGGTGTTCTTATTCTTACGCGCTTGACTTCAGTAGCTCCAACAATATCCTGGTATTGTATTTTTGTACTTGCTATAATCATTGTAGGGTATGGAACCTGTACGCGTAACGCGTATTTCGTACTTCGCATGATTTGTAGTTCTAGCGTATCGTAGGGTACCGTATGATCATGACGTTACAGAACGTGATGGTCTCTAGTTCATATCTTTTGATAATCCTGATGAATTATTGAACATGTCTATGTCGAAGATCACTCTTATTCTTGTCTTTATGGTGCTAAACTTGTCGGCGCGGAAGAACAAAGCATCTGCATTTATTCGGACAACCGATTTGTACGAAAGGGTCAACAAGAATTCACCATCACTCAGCTTGTCACCAATCGGTAGAACTTCTGACAACGTGATGCGGCAGCGACCAGGGCTTGATCGCATGCGAGTCGCGGTYTCCAGACCATCGTCCAGGGTGATCAACGACGGCAGCGGTGATAATATGTCAGACAGCCACTCACGGCAATCGTCAGGTTACATCAATTGGTGGAAAAAAGACCCCAGGAATCGTGCTGTTTCTGGGGTTTTGATTTGTAGGTCTGAAAAATTGTACATGAACTCTTCGGAGATAGTCTCATTGGATGCAGTTTCCAATTACTTTTTGAAATATTCTGTATCATCGAATTGTTACCCAACCTAAAATTCATGTCCAATATTTTTTCAGCTTCTTTTTTATCTCTACTTGGCTTCACTATGGTGGCCGGACCGCTTGTAAGTTAGATATTAGATGGGTCGCCTACAAGTTTCGTTCATTTGAATGCAGATAGCTCACATTTTTTTCTACAGACTCCAGCGCTAGGCAAGTAACATCARTTCTTGAGAATTAGTGATTGAAGGAAGGTACGATTGATGAATCTAACACGGAAGACAACGTTGCTGTTCTCTAGGGAAACATTTTAATTTAGAAGTTGGTAGTTTGTTTGGAGCACTGACATCCGCTTACCCGTTAGGTGAGTTATAACAAATATTCGCTGAAATGTATTCAGTGAGGTAATTTCATCTCATCTAGACATGGTGACGCAWKCGCACTCACCTTTGGAAAATACAGGAATGATGATCGGAATTTTCATATGGCCTAGTCTCTCCGATAGGTTGGGACGGAGAAWGATTTTATCTTTATCGCTGCTGTAAGGACATATGTTTGTAGATGTCGGTCTCCTTTTCTGGTACTTCGTAGTAATGTCGAATCGTACGTTTCTCACTCATGATTATTTCGGTTCGGTTGATTAAACTTAAGTGGGAGCGGTCTGGGGTTGATGGCGCAAGCCTTGGTGATAGACAGAGGGGGGTCGTTGATTCAGTTTTTGCTGGCTCGGTCTCTGACGGGTCTCACTGCAGGTGCGTATACTTTGAAACACGAAAAGCACTTRACTTCGGTGCTTTGATGCTTCGTCTCCTTCTAATTTTTAAACTGAGCAAATCTTCAYATGCATGTGGCTTCCGCATATAGGTAGTTCCCCGGTTGGTAAAGCATATCTTGCAGATATTGGAGCGAAAGATGGAAAGTTRCCGCGTTATTTGAGTTTGAAAGATGCATCCTCGACATTAGCTTTCATTATTGGACCTGCAGCAGGCGGGCTATTATTTGATGTTCTTGGAGCTTCGGAAAAAATAAGTAAAGCAGAAGTTCTCGATAGCTCTAGATCTTTGGCATTTGTTATTGCAATTTCAGGTGTGGCATCGATCCTTGCTTCTTTGATTGCTGCATTACTGGTACAGGAAAGTATTGGTCCGAAACGAGTCACTGGCGGCTCTCCTGATGACAAARAGGCTCACGGTGACATAGGAGCAACAAAAATTATTGAAAACGACCAAGACGAGGACCTAATCTCTTGTCCACTTGGCCGCAACCTATGGGCTGGAGTAGCTTCCGTCTGCGCAGTTTCTTTTTTTTTCAACGTTGGTGATTCTACATTCCATGCGTAGGTTATTATAACGAAAATGTTGACTTRATTTTCTCTTATTCCCAACTGACCGCATTCATATTTTTTTTCTCATTCCTCCGACAGATTTTTCTCAACCTTTCTTAGAAATCAAGGAATACCTACAGCGGATATCGGTTTTTTATTTACATCCCTTGCCTGCGTAAGCTTTTTGGTCTCCAGTTCATTGACAAGTAAGATTTTGAGATCATTGGGACCAGTTTTAACATGCGCAGGTGGCTTGACTCTAGTCGGATCGAGCCTTCTCTTCATGGGATTGGCTGCTTCCGGAGCCTCTCTGATACAACCAAGCTTCACARTCTTAGGAGCAATTGCTGCCATTTACTTTTGCGGCGTATCTTTGTACGGTAAGTCAACGATTGATTTTTTATCCGCGGATTTTTACTTTCTTACAGTTTAATATTGTTGAATATGAACAGGTCCAACGATACCAACAATGTTGTTGCGATGCGTCCCGCCGAATAAGCGCGGGTTCATAATGGGTCTAGATGGATTCATTAATACTCTGGCAAGAATTATGACACCCATTGTTTCTGGCGAAATCTACCGACGATACAATGCAGGTACTGCTTTTGCGGCTGCTGGTAGTGCAGTCGTATGCGGAGCATTTATTGCGTTGTTTCGTCGTTTCTCTACACTGCGTGATAGGAAAGAGACTCAGCTGTAGAGCTCGAGTTCCATGCCAAATAGTTTTTGGTTTTACTCCACCAGCGACGATAAGAAGTAACGCACTATGGTATATTTCGAAGGGCAAAGAAATACAATACGTTGATAGCATTAAATATTTGTGTTTGCACAAATCTGTGCTGAGCCAAAATGATTCAAGTAGATCATTTATCTTTCTCTTTCGTAACAAAATGATTTGCTCGCTTAGTCCTTAACAAAATCAGATATCTTCGARTCCTTGGGGTTTACTTCCTTTGATCGACTCTTAATTTTGCTCTTAAAAGCTTGTACATCAACATTTGCGTTCTCCGTGGAGGCCATTTTCTTTCGTTTGTTGTCAGTCTTCCTCGCTGGTGCGATTTCGTCTTCTTCCATTCGCCGCTTTCGKTTCTCCAAAGAAATGAGTTTCGCCTGTTCTTTCTTTGCAGCCAATTTCTGTGACTTTCGCTGTTCTTCAGAGRCAAAATACTCTCCAGTTTCGAGCTGTAAATCAACCTTTCGAGGTTGCTGTGCAGGTGGAAACGGTGTGTAAGCCTTGGGTGTTTTCTTTTTCGTAGGCTTCTTTCTTTTCACATTCTTCTTCGCAAATTTTGGTAGAAATCGTTCCCAATCCTCGTTCTTCAACTTTTCGTCTTTGGCAAGTTCTTTCATGATCATCAATCTCTTAATGTGGTAAATTGGATGAATATTGTTCATACAATCAACAACAACATTTCGAGCTTGTTTCAGTCCGTGGTAAGTCTGACCCATAATCGAGACTGTATTTCCTTGAACAAGAATGAAGCACCCTGTTACCAATTCTAAGGCTTTCAAAGTGGAACCTTCCTGCCCCAACAACCGTTGCCTTCTTTTCACAAAGCGCTCCTTGTTTCGAACCAAACCACCGATTTTGACAATGTCGCAGACCCATTCATCGTTTAGAATTTTCAAAGCTTGTGCCACTGGGATACTCCTCGACAGAAGCTTGAGGAGGTCTCTGGCCTTTAGAATAATGTAGGGGTCGGATGTTTTGCTCGTTGTACGAACGGTCATCGATCCTTCGACGAGATTCAGCTCACAGGCAATTCTATACCCATCYAATGCTTTGGTTACAACTGGCCATACCTGGCGAAGGTAGTTTTCTCGATACTTTGGAAAGAGCGTCGCAAAGCACGATTCTTCTAGTAAACGACCACCGACCAACTGGTCACCATCTTCTTCATTCCACGGTTGATTCTTCCAGTGATCGATTTGGTCATTATCCCAAGGCTTGTCTTTCCTGTATTTATTATGATTTTTCACCCGAGATGGAGGGTTATCTTCATGGGACGATACCGCTTCCGAATCCATCGTATAATTTGACGTACTTTGCTTCAATCCGAACTATGTTCTATCGCACGAACTGGTGAAGTCTATTGAATATCCGTTCTCGCGGTGCCCTTCAACTTTTTCGTTCTTCAATTCTTCCGTAGCTCAGCCAGTTGTCTTCGGGTAAAAACGAAAAACATGATTCTTGGGGTTACCTTCAGATCGATGGCCATGGAGGAATGAAGTTTTGCAAGACATCATATTTCAAAAGTCCCTCAAATCTCTCCCCCCCCGCCCGCCCCCTCCTCACTTGATGAAATAAGTACCGGTACTACGCATCAGGGGTCATAATAAATAGGGGGTGCGCATCGAATTTTTTTGCGCATCATGAAGCACGAAAAAAAAAGTGAAACTCATATTCCACATGTGCGGGGTCCAAATTTCCAAAAAGTCACTCAAGGATTTTTTTCATTCTCATTTTTACTGCATAATACTAGTAAAACTATCCAACCTTTAAGCAGTTACAGCTTTATCAAAAATACTACTATTTTTATTTTTGAGAAGCCCGTCTAGTCCAGTTTTTTATGCTGATTCTGAATATACCATTTTCTTGGATATTAAATTGATATTTGTAGTACTATTTTACAATTAGAAAATGAACATAATTTCCAGCATAGTACTCGCTATTAGTAGTACAAGTACTAGTACTACTAGTACTACTACTAGTACTGCTACTAGTAGTACGTGAACTAGAAGAGGCGCTGTATGGCCAGAACCATAGCTTTTTGGTGGAAAGTATTGTTTTGGTACTAAGTAAAACACRAAATTTTTTATGGTACTGAAATTTTCGATACTGTGATTTACTACTACACGAAATAAATCTAATCATAAAAAAAAAATCTTAATATTATATTTAACCTCGTGAACTAGAAGAGGCACTATATGGCCAGAACCATAGCTTTTGTTAGAAATAATGCTTCTAGCTGCTCCGAGGGGCAGCGCCTCCCTCCGAGGAGGTTTTGTGGAGACRCGACCAAGTTTTATGCACACTGACAAGCCAAATAAGGCAGGTCACTGGACTCAGAGGACATAAAACCAGTTGGGTCACAGTTTGGATGGATGAGAACCATGCCATTCTCATTTTGAAGTGCACTGCCAAGCCTGTAGGTTGGGGGGCCTCAATTCCCAACCGGTAGGCAAGTTCCCAGGCACAGTGATCAGCAAAATGGGTGTCGAGCACACTGCCAAGCCAATGAAGGCAAGACTTYACCACAGTGGGCAAGGACACTTGGAGTCAAAAAGAAAAAATCAAAAAAAAAAAAGAAGAARAAAAAAAGGAAACGTYGTACTTCTTTCACCAAATTACAGCTGGGCCCRCCCAAAGGAGCAGCAGTTTGAGTATTGTCTTCTTGAAGAAGACACTGGAACAAATAAATCAATTCTTCTGTCACCGCTAGTCAAGGGGTAAAATAAACTTGGGGGTGTTGCTGTTTCTGTCTACAACAAAGGACTKGAACAGCAACAATCGTGACCGGAAGCACTGGGGCTTCCAGTCCTTGAGAACTGGGTTGGTGTTGTTGYGTTCCAGCACGAATGTGACCGGATAGCACTGGGGCTTACGGTCCTTGAGAACTGGGGATGGATCCAGCTGAGGCAACTGCACTCAGCTGGAGAAATAATACTGGGGGTGATACTGATAGAGTATTGACTGGGGTGGGGTTGGTGTTATTTCATTCCGGCACGAATGCCAGAAACAACAACAACGACGTCGTGACCGGAATCTTCTTCCGGTCCGTAAAATACTGGAAAAGGAACTACATGGAGATGCTGGGGAATCTTCTTTTAAACTGAGTATGATGTATGATATAGCATATACTCCAGGCTTGGTCTGCACCAGTAGGTCTTGGTTGAATACTGGGGGATGGG